GCTACTGTGCACTGTGATTAATGCATTTAAGATGTCAGAAACTGCAGTAGAAACATGTGGAGGTATTTTTGTGTCTCTTTGTTGCAATCACATAAAACTGTTTTTAGAGCATATTTCTTGAACTGCAATCAAAAATCAAATAAAAACATTTGATCATTTTTGCTTATAAATCAGTACTCTTTGCTTGCAAGTTAAAAAGTTTTGCTTGCAAATCAGTCCTATTTGCTTGCGAGTTAAAAACTTTTGCTTGCAAGTACCTACAACTGCACTTAATGGGCCGGGCCTACGCTGATGGATGAGAGAAGAGTTTCTATTGGTGGGTTTGACGTGGCTCCATACAGAGCGGGCTACACCCACGATTCCCTCTCTCCCAATGGAAACACTCAACAGTTGGCATTACTGTTGCACCCCAGGGCATCGACAGTACTGACCATTACACCGTCGAATAGTTCTGTCCTGGCTAAACAAAAGCAATCTACATGCACCAGTTCAAATAAAACATTCTTGCTATTATTAGGCCTAGTCCACACGGACCCGTGTACTTCTGAAACTGTGTATTATTCTATGCGATTTGGCTGTTTGGCCACACGCAACCGCACTTTTGGGCCCCTGAAACAGCGTTTCTTTGAAACCGGAGTCCAGGGTGAAGTTTTTGGAGGACTCTGATGGCAGCGGTTGCGTGTTTTATTACCTGCCTCCATTGTTTGACATCAGAGCAACGGTAAATAGCTCTTTTCTAAAAGTTTATTAACTACTAAAATCCCACATCCTGTGTTAAATACAATGTATCTTAATTATATTTACAATGAAGATTGATTCTGCACTCTGCACTTAGCCCATATGTGAATGTTTACCATTGCTATGGCAACAAGTGACAGCTGACGTTAGCGTTATTTAGCTTAGCTCAATCGTCCGACAAACAATAACCCATAAAATTATAATTCAACATATTTAAATAAAATCAACAACAGCTACCAACAGTTACAGTCCTTAAAACCTGTTGTCACAGGTTAGATTGTCAAAATTAAAGTAATAACAGCTTTAATCCCTGAGGAACTACGCTAGCATTAGTGACGGTTACATCCACTCGTATGCAGTTACCTTACGTTACAGTTCCCTCAAACAATATCACGAAGCACAATACAAACTGTGTAAACAAATTATCTGTTAAGGGTACACTCATAAAATCTGAAGGTGCTTAGGTGACATATACCCACCTGAAAGAATAAATGAAAACAAATGATGATTTTGCTGACTTATGATTGGTTAAAATGGCCTTTCCATTGGAAGTTACATCGCCACCTACTACTTTGGCATGTGTATTGCATCACTTGGTAGCGGGTTTTGCGGTTTCGGAGCCCCGAAAAACTTCGGTTTCAGAATTGATTTTCACCACAGCTCCGCACTGAATTCCCCGTGAACCACAGAACTCCCATGTTGCTTTGCAAGCGTACTAGGCTGATGAGTAGAATTTAAGAAACAGGCTAAATGACATGATGTTGCACACTCTTGTACAGTAGGTGGCGGTATGCACCTTTTAATTGTTTGCAATCTGCCAACTGAGAGAAGAAGAAAAAAAAATGCTTTGCAAGCTGTCATTCCGATTGAGACTGGCCAATAGAGACGTGTCTTACAGCTTTCAGTTTTGGCCTTCCCCTCCAGGTTCAACTTTTTAGTTGCAAAACTTTTTGACTTGCAAACGAAAAAAAATCACTTGCAAACAAAACTTTAGGATTTGCAAACAAAACTTTAGGATTTGCATTTTTTTAATCAATCCTTTTTTACTTGCAATAAAACATTTTTGATTTTGATTTTTTGAAGGTGGGAACATTTTTTTGCAAAGTGGGGACATTTTTGGAAAGAGAATAGATATCTGGGAAGTGGAAAACAAGTTTATATTGATTAGGACATTTTTGTAAATATAAAATGGGAGCTATTATCAAAAGGGAGTATGGACAGGGGGACATGTTGGACAGTGGGGACAGATTTGGAAAGTAGAAACAGTGGCTTGACCACAGTTATTTTTAGAACATACAGGATACCTCTGATAAGGCATATAATATTTGACAACCAGCCCTGAAATAAAAATAATTTGTTAAATACTAATTTAGTGTAAACACAGGGTGTTTTAATTGAATAGCCTATGTAGTGTGAATGTAGTGTTCTCTCTTTGGATGGGAGTCTGATGCTTCTAATTTAGTTCTGTGTTGAAAAACTGTTGACTGCTTTGCAAGCTTTTAAATAATTCTAAAAAGCAGGTTATTAAGTCAAATAAGGTGTAAGATGATTATTAATTTAACTTCAATTTTTGCTTTCTGTACACATAAACATGGGGAGGAAACCCTTTGAAACTTTGTTTCACTGTTTTACATGTTAGCCCAACACAAACAAGTTTGTCCCTGGACTTGTATCTGACTGTCTGCCTATCTGCACCCACCAGTAAGCCTGGTACTTTTAATAAATCACTGAACAGATCCTGTCTACCTGCTTTATCTGCATTGTGAAACTTTCATTCTCTGTATTGCTAAGCAAGCTCTTGTGAAATATTGAGTATCTTTGTTTTCCATGAGAATACTAACAAAATCAAATTCCCATCATGTAATCTATCTTAAAATGTCCTGACAATTTCCGAGGAGTTCAGAAAAGGAGGGGAAGAGTTTCAGTTTCTAATCTGTGCATTTGAAATGAGGCATGAGGCCTAGAGGGGAGGAAAGTAAATATCTCCTGATTTGGGAGATGAATCAGCTTGCAGAGCTGCTATTGCTGCCAAAATACTGAGAGGGTTTAAAAATAAATAAATAAGTGGTTCAGTTAAGAGGTTGAAAAATAAACAAAGGAAAATAATACATCAATACAGGCTTGTATGCATATCTGATCTGGCTGATCCAACTGATGAGGACCCGGATATCTACACTAAATGGGAAGCCATCAAGAACACTTATGTTGAGACAGCTACTAAAGTCCTGGGCTTCAGACAAAAAAACAACAAGGAGTGGCTGACAACTGGCACGTGGCAGAAAATTGAACAAAGGAAACAACTAAAAGCCAAGATGCTAAACACCAAATCACTGAGACTCCAGGAACAGGCCTATAAGAACAAGGACAAGGAGGTCAAGAAGAGCGCAAGGAATGATAAAAGGGCCTTTGTTGAGATACTAGCTTGCAAAGCAGAATGGGCAGCTGCAAGAGGTGAAATGGGTGTTGTCTATAAAATCACTAAACAACTGTGTGGCAAGAAGACCGGCCAATCTGCTCCTGTAAAGGACAAAGATGGGAACAACCTCTTAACAGAGCGTGAACAGGCAGCAAGATGGGTGCAACACCTCTGTGAAGTCCTCAACTGCCCTGAACCACTACATCCTGCTACCCCCACACCTGCAAATAACATACTCAACAGTAACACCAGCCCCCCAACTGAAACAGAAGTAAGAAGTGCCATTAAAGCAACAAAGAATGGGAAACCTGCCAACGCTGACTCCATTCATGCTGAGATGCTGAAGGCTGACATCAACACCTCAGTCAAGATCCTCACTGACCTGTTCAGGAATATCTGGGATAAAAAAAGTCATTCCTGAGGACTGGGCCAAAGGTCTGACTGCCAAAATCCAGAAGAAAGGCAATCTAGAAAATTGTAACATCCTCTGAGTATCTCCATGCTTTCTCTCAACCATACAGTCCCTGTCTTTGTTTGTGGATTGCTGTCTAAAACACAGTTTTGTATGTTGGGACTAGGTGGACTGTATTGAGATTGGAGTTTGACAAAGGTGACTTTGCTTTCACAGTGTACGTATCTCTATTACCATAGCATTTGTCCAAAATACAGTTTCCCTCTTGTGTCACATGTAACAAACTGCTCAAAACCAAGGAGGGACAGCTCTAATATGCACTGATTAAAATTGCCAAGAATAAAACTTGGGATACTAGGTGTAAGTTGCAACTGCTGGCTATCCGAGCCGCGGCTCTAGCAGCATTTCCACTTGGCGGAACATACACTGCACAGATGATGATGTTGCCAAACCCCCTGGGTAGGTAGAAAGGTCTTAGGGATATACACAGCAGTTCCATGTCAGTATTACATGCAGAGTCTCTAACAGTATACTATGTACACCCGTGTATAATCTGTTGATCATTAACTAGAGATTACTAGATTAGATCATAGATGAGTTGACCATCAACAGATAGTCAGTTAATTATTCTTTTGATGAGTTTGGGATACCTTGTGAGTATGCTCTTGATCATGTGTTGGCATGACCCTGTTGACTTTCAACTGACAGACTAATTTTGAATTATTAATAATCATCTTAGAAGATGCTGACACAATCTACAGATAGTTAGTTGAATATTAGTTGCCAACAAGTTGAAAAAAATATTGACAGTCAACAGACACTTCTCGTAAAATCTGTAGATCAACACTTCAAATGCACCTTATAGTCTAGTGGCAGTTACTTGAATGTATATTACTTGTCTGCTGAAACAGTGTAGTATATAATATACTGTTGACATGCTACTAAATAGCTACAGATAACTAGAATTTCAATAGATAGACTGTCAAAATAAAGTGTTACCACTATGGTATTGTCACAAAATTAACATTAATAATTGTTTTCTTAAGATAACTTGATTCATTTTGTACATCAAAGTAACTGAAATTTGATTTTAAGTTATTTCCAACATGGCTGCTCTCAGCTTCCGTACTTATTTTACAGTTTTCTTTTTTTTTTTCCTTTGTAATTTGTATCTATGTTTATTTTATTTTTATTGTCTTGTTGATTTCACATGCATCTTCTTATATCTGTACTACATGCTACTGTTTGCACCATCTACTTAGATGCTAAACTGTTTTTTGTTGTATGGATGCAGTGACAGTAGAAAGTAGAATCTAATCTAATCTAATCTAATGTGACTTAAGTCACACCATGATCATAGAAAATAATTTCTGTTGTTATTTTACATCACAGCTCAGGATGTATTAAACTGCAAGTAACCATAGCAACAGGACGGACATAAGCACAGAGTTTATTTGAGCTCTTATTTTATTATTTGACATCAGATTCTCAACATCAGTGAACAATGGTGATGAGACTATGATGATGGTGATGATGGTGATTGGCTGTCACCTGCGTCGGAAGCTCAGGTGCTCACGGAGGAGGTGGTGGAGGAGCTAGAGACTACCCTTCCATCAACAACCTCCTCCACCACTTCCACTATGCGCCTGGTCCTGGTGGTCGAGGTCGTTGAAGAGGAGCTGACACTGCTGAACCAATCAGAAAACAGATCACTGTAAACTGAATGTCTTTGGTTAGTTTTATTGTACAGTATTAATATTTTTGAATTATCTCAGTCTCACCTGCTGCTGCCCTGTCCATCCAGCAGCCTCCTGTATTCGGCGATCTCCATCTCCAGTCTGGTCTTGATGTCCAGCAGCATCTGGTACTCTTGTGCTTGTCTCTCCAGGTCTGCCCTCAGCTGCACCAGCTGCTCCTCCAGAGCGCTCACCTGAAAGTCAAGAAGAAGAGGAAGAAAAATAATACCATTTAAAGTCTGAATCAAACTGTAGAAATATAAAGTAAAATAGTTGAAACAGGCGGAACTTTTTCTGTCTCACCTGCATCTGGTATCCAGAGAGCTGCATGGCATAACGGTTTTGTGTCTCAGCCAGAGTTCCCTCCAGTGACGCTTTCTGCAGAAACAAAGTTAATGTTACGAATGTTCAACACTTAATTTTCCATCTACACCAAAAATCATTTTTATAGATTTATTTTTGTTTCCACAGTGGCAGCACTGAGCAGCCGTCTGTGAGCGGGGGATATGATTTGACATGGTTTATACTGATGCTAAAAAAGAGACTTTTCTCTGCTACAGAACTTGTTTCCGCTGAGTTACTAAAATGTCAGTGTCCGTCCACACAATAATACTAATAAATGTAATTTCTGTGTATTCAAATTTAGATATAGTTTTCTTTATTATTATTTTAATATTTAAGTAAATGTTATAAATAGTTTAACTATTTACAAAAATTAAAATTAATTTTAAATTACACACTTAAATGTTATCATAAATCTGTGCCCAGCTGGATCTGTAAGGAGTGATGTCAATTTTGTTGCATATGTACTGGTCTTGTTACCTGTTATTAATATAAAATTTTAATATTCTGTCCTGACGTATGTATTATTTCTTTAAATCCTCAACTTTGTTTATCAAGTACTAAAAAGAAAAGCATGTTTTTCAGTGTTAATCCCTTAAATTTGAGAGTTTTGAAAACGCTGACACATTACGGTAGTTTAAAAAGTAACATACAATATCGAGGCTTTGGGCAAACACTATCTACCTGGCTGTCCATGAAGACAGGTCACAGGGAGACGTGGATGCTGCTCTGCTGCTGTCTGGATGAAAACTCAAATGCTGTTGTGGGCCTTTTTTTTTAACTAAGAATTGATGCCATGGGCCAAATTTAAAAACCAAAATATTAAATTAGAAAAAGAAACAGAAAAGAAATGTCTCGCAAATGCCTCTAGTCAGAGGGCAAAAATGTAGGTGCTTGAGCGCCACCTGGGGTCTATCTGTGCACGTGCCTGCCTTGATGACTGACAAGCTAGCCAGCAGTATAAAGTCACTGAAATGAGCTCCACCTTTAGCAGCTGCAACATTAAGGTGATAAACACCTCAACACATTAATAACTATAATCCAACAATATCATATACTATTCTGAAATGAGCCATTCTACATAAGGAGTTATTTTACTTTTACGTTTTTGAATGCAGGATTAGAGTATATTTACACTTAGACACTTAGAAACATTTCTACTGAAGTTAGAGTACTGAGTACGCGTTTCATCACTGTGACACTCACCATGCCCAACTGGGCCTGCAGCTCGATCTCCAGCGACTGCAGCGTCCGTCTGATCTCTGTGACTTCTGACTTGGACGTCTGCAGGGTTTCCTTCTGAATGACCACCTCTTTGTTCAGAGTCTCCGTCTACACAAGCACACAAAAAATCTGTACATGAATTTACCATACAGGTACTCTTTGCATCCACAGGAAGTGATGTCATGGTGTTACCTTGGTCTGGAACCAGAGCTCAAGCTCTTTCTGGTTCTTGGCAGTGATGCTCTCATAGTACTCTCTGATCTCGGCCATCATCTTGCTTAGGTCTGGTCCTGGAGTGGCGTCCACTGTCACGTCGATCTGACCACTCATCTGACTTCTTATTGCCAGCATCTCCTGCAGAGAAACAACAGATACAAGAGTTGTGTGTGTGAGTTTACTTCATTCTTGTTTTATTAATGTTCGCATGAACTGAGTCCTCAGAAAGAGTTGCTGGTCCTCTGTTTCTTAAACTCAGTTTCTAATGGATTTTTCTGTTCTTTCAGTGTAATGCAACATTGGGATTTCTTCCTGTCTTGGAGTGCAAAGTGAACTTAAACAAATAATCCAAACAAACTGTTAATAAATGAATTAAATACATGTCAGTTCACTGATTAATTGTTACTTGATTGGTTATTTGATTATCGGAAAACTACTCTGCAATAACTTTAATAAACAATCTTTTAAAGCCAAATTCATTCTCTGGTTCAAACTTTTCTAATGTGACAGTTTGCTGCTTTAAATCATTTTAATTTGAATATTTGGGGCTTTTGGACTGTTTGTTAGACAAATCATGAGATTTAAAAATAACTGATTAATTGTATAAAATAATAATAGATGCTTGCAGCTCTAACTGAGTCTCTTTTTGCACTGTTGAGAGAGCAGCAGTGTTTTGGGGTGTCATAAGCACGGCCACCTCTAGGGGCTGTTGTTAACCCTGTTATTACTCAGGGTGTGTGGCTGTACCAATGTTGATGGTTAAATGTGAAGGATTTGGTGGCATCAAGTGGTGAGGTTGCAGATTGCAACAAACTGAAACTTCCCATGTGCCAAATGTGCAAAAATGCAAATGGTCCTATCTAGAGCCAGTGTTTGCTTTTGCTTTCTGGGCTAGTGTAGAAATGTCATGGCAGACTCTGTGGAGGAGGATCTGTCTGTATGTAGATAAAAACACCTCATTACAGTGTAAAGAAACAATTCATAATTTCAGGTGATTTTACACTAATGAAAACACAGTCATGAATATAATATAATTCTGCCAATAGAAGCCATACTAGGGCCATTAAATTAACCAAGATTAAATTTACGTTTCCACTGATGTGCACAGAAATTCTGTAAGCTATTTTTAAAAAAAAAATCAAAGCCAGATTTAAAGTGTCAGAATGTATAATAACAAAAAACTGCATTGACAAATAAATTTCAGTGTGCTCCAGAGATTAACACAATTATTATTAATTGGACTGAATATAACCCAGATGTTTTCCTTGGCAGGAAACCTAAAAAAAGATAGGTATAGGTAGAGTTTTAAATAGGAATGCACAAAATTGGATTTTTTGCTGATATCCGATCCGCCGATATGTAACACCTCATTTGACTGATAACCAATACTGATATAGATATGTCAATTTTTTTCCCTACCTAATTTTAGTGATCATCAAATGGAATTAACATCATATTATGCATGCATACTCTTATCATGAAGTCCCACCAGCAGATGGAGACATGAGATACAATATTTTTTAATGTATGTAATATTCATTCATTGAATGAATATAGTTAATTTTAAAGCCAATATTGTCTGATACCGATGATGTACCAATATTTTCTTTTTGTACCAAGTGATGAAAATAACACTGAAATGGTATTTTTCATAACGTTTGATTTTACAGATTTTTCTAAAAGGTCCTTGAAGAAACCTGCTTTAATTCAATTATTCTTAGGCTAATTTATTAGTAAGTTTGTTTTCTTTATTAATTATTATACTTTATTATTATAATGATTAGGTATAATTATGCGTTGTAATTTGATCAATCAAAGTCAAATATGAAAATGACCATATAAAGATTAAGTTCAGGTTGCTACTGTTACACTAATTCATCATTTATTATGAATTATGTAGTAATAAAGGAACCAGATGTGACAGGATGTGGTTGTGGTTTTGTTTTAGTGCTCTCTGACCTCCTCGTGGTTCTTCTTGAGGAAGATCAGCTCCTCCCTCAGACCCTCAATCTGCATCTCCAGGTCGCTCTTCGCCATGGTCAGTTCATCCAGGACTCTCTTCAAGCCAGCAGTGTCGCCCTCCACAGACAAACGCATTGCCAGCTCATTATCATACCTGCAGGAGAAGAACAAGGGAGAGGAGGGTGTATTTATACTTAATACAACTTGATATGTAATTAACTACTACTACTACTAACCTTAACTCACAGTTATTGCTTATATAGTATTACTGTTCCTGTCCCCTCCCTCCAGCCACATTCTCAACTCCTCAAACCCCTTCACTATCATTCTGTATCTGTGCACCAGATGCCCTCAGACTTTCNCTGGCTAAACAAAAGCAATCTACATGCACCAGTTCAAATAAAACATTCTTGCTATTATTAGGCCTAGTCCACACGGACCCGTGTACTTCTGAAACTGTGTATTATTCTATGCGATTTGGCTGTTTGGCCACACGCAACCGCACTTTTGGGCCCCTGAAACAGCGTTTCTTTGAAACCGGAGTCCAGGGTGAAGTTTTTGGAGGACTCTGATGGCAGCGGTTGCGTGTTTTATTACCTGCCTCCATTGTTTGACATCAGAGCAACGGTAAATAGCTCTTTTCTAAAAGTTTATTAACTACTAAAATCCCACATCCTGTGTTAAATACAATGTATCTTAATTATATTTACAATGAAGATTGATTCTGCACTCTGCACTTAGCCCATATGTGAATGTTTACCATTGCTATGGCAACAAGTGACAGCTGACGTTAGCGTTATTTAGCTTAGCTCAATCGTCCGACAAACAATAACCCATAAAATTATAATTCAACATATTTAAATAAAATCAACAACAGCTACCAACAGTTACAGTCCTTAAAACCTGTTGTCACAGGTTAGATTGTCAAAATTAAAGTAATAACAGCTTTAATCCCTGAGGAACTACGCTAGCATTAGTGACGGTTACATCCACTCGTATGCAGTTACCTTACGTTACAGTTCCCTCAAACAATATCACGAAGCACAATACAAACTGTGTAAACAAATTATCTGTTAAGGGTACACTCATAAAATCTGAAGGTGCTTAGGTGACATATACCCACCTGAAAGAATAAATGAAAACAAATGATGATTTTGCTGACTTATGATTGGTTAAAATGGCCTTTCCATTGGAAGTTACATCGCCACCTACTACTTTGGCATGTGTATTGCATCACTTGGTAGCGGGTTTTGCGGTTTCGGAGCCCCGAAAAACTTCGGTTTCAGAATTGATTTTCACCACAGCTCCGCACTGAATTCCCCGTGAACCACAGAACTCCCATGTTGCTTTGCAAGCGTACTAGGCTGATGAGTAGAATTTAAGAAACAGGCTAAATGACATGATGTTGCACACTCTTGTACAGTAGGTGGCGGTATGCACCTTTTAATTGTTTGCAATCTGCCAACTGAGAGAAGAAGAAAAAAAAATGCTTTGCAAGCTGTCATTCCGATTGAGACTGGCCAATAGAGACGTGTCTTACAGCTTTCAGTTTTGGCCTTCCCCTCCAGGTTCAACTTTTTAGTTGCAAAACTTTTTGACTTGCAAACGAAAAAAAATCACTTGCAAACAAAACTTTAGGATTTGCAAACAAAACTTTAGGATTTGCATTTTTTTAATCAATCCTTTTTTACTTGCAATAAAACATTTTTGATTTTGATTTTTTGAAGGTGGGAACATTTTTTTGCAAAGTGGGGACATTTTTGGAAAGAGAATAGATATCTGGGAAGTGGAAAACAAGTTTATATTGATTAGGACATTTTTGTAAATATAAAATGGGAGCTATTATCAAAAGGGAGTATGGACAGGGGGACATGTTGGACAGTGGGGACAGATTTGGAAAGTAGAAACAGTGGCTTGACCACAGTTATTTTTAGAACATACAGGATACCTCTGATAAGGCATATAATATTTGACAACCAGCCCTGAAATAAAAATAATTTGTTAAATACTAATTTAGTGTAAACACAGGGTGTTTTAATTGAATAGCCTATGTAGTGTGAATGTAGTGTTCTCTCTTTGGATGGGAGTCTGATGCTTCTAATTTAGTTCTGTGTTGAAAAACTGTTGACTGCTTTGCAAGCTTTTAAATAATTCTAAAAAGCAGGTTATTAAGTCAAATAAGGTGTAAGATGATTATTAATTTAACTTCAATTTTTGCTTTCTGTACACATAAACATGGGGAGGAAACCCTTTGAAACTTTGTTTCACTGTTTTACATGTTAGCCCAACACAAACAAGTTTGTCCCTGGACTTGTATCTGACTGTCTGCCTATCTGCACCCACCAGTAAGCCTGGTACTTTTAATAAATCACTGAACAGATCCTGTCTACCTGCTTTATCTGCATTGTGAAACTTTCATTCTCTGTATTGCTAAGCAAGCTCTTGTGAAATATTGAGTATCTTTGTTTTCCATGAGAATACTAACAAAATCAAATTCCCATCATGTAATCTATCTTAAAATGTCCTGACAATTTCCGAGGAGTTCAGAAAAGGAGGGGAAGAGTTTCAGTTTCTAATCTGTGCATTTGAAATGAGGCATGAGGCCTAGAGGGGAGGAAAGTAAATATCTCCTGATTTGGGAGATGAATCAGCTTGCAGAGCTGCTATTGCTGCCAAAATACTGAGAGGGTTTAAAAATAAATAAATAAGTGGTTCAGTTAAGAGGTTGAAAAATAAACAAAGGAAAATAATACATCAATACAGGCTTGTATGCATATCTGATCTGGCTGATCCAACTGATGAGGACCCGGATATCTACACTAAATGGGAAGCCATCAAGAACACTTATGTTGAGACAGCTACTAAAGTCCTGGGCTTCAGACAAAAAAACAACAAGGAGTGGCTGACAACTGGCACGTGGCAGAAAATTGAACAAAGGAAACAACTAAAAGCCAAGATGCTAAACACCAAATCACTGAGACTCCAGGAACAGGCCTATAAGAACAAGGACAAGGAGGTCAAGAAGAGCGCAAGGAATGATAAAAGGGCCTTTGTTGAGATACTAGCTTGCAAAGCAGAATGGGCAGCTGCAAGAGGTGAAATGGGTGTTGTCTATAAAATCACTAAACAACTGTGTGGCAAGAAGACCGGCCAATCTGCTCCTGTAAAGGACAAAGATGGGAACAACCTCTTAACAGAGCGTGAACAGGCAGCAAGATGGGTGCAACACCTCTGTGAAGTCCTCAACTGCCCTGAACCACTACATCCTGCTACCCCCACACCTGCAAATAACATACTCAACAGTAACACCAGCCCCCCAACTGAAACAGAAGTAAGAAGTGCCATTAAAGCAACAAAGAATGGGAAACCTGCCAACGCTGACTCCATTCATGCTGAGATGCTGAAGGCTGACATCAACACCTCAGTCAAGATCCTCACTGACCTGTTCAGGAATATCTGGGATAAAAAAAGTCATTCCTGAGGACTGGGCCAAAGGTCTGACTGCCAAAATCCAGAAGAAAGGCAATCTAGAAAATTGTAACATCCTCTGAGTATCTCCATGCTTTCTCTCAACCATACAGTCCCTGTCTTTGTTTGTGGATTGCTGTCTAAAACACAGTTTTGTATGTTGGGACTAGGTGGACTGTATTGAGATTGGAGTTTGACAAAGGTGACTTTGCTTTCACAGTGTACGTATCTCTATTACCATAGCATTTGTCCAAAATACAGTTTCCCTCTTGTGTCACATGTAACAAACTGCTCAAAACCAAGGAGGGACAGCTCTAATATGCACTGATTAAAATTGCCAAGAATAAAACTTGGGATACTAGGTGTAAGTTGCAACTGCTGGCTATCCGAGCCGCGGCTCTAGCAGCATTTCCACTTGGCGGAACATACACTGCACAGATGATGATGTTGCCAAACCCCCTGGGTAGGTAGAAAGGTCTTAGGGATATACACAGCAGTTCCATGTCAGTATTACATGCAGAGTCTCTAACAGTATACTATGTACACCCGTGTATAATCTGTTGATCATTAACTAGAGATTACTAGATTAGATCATAGATGAGTTGACCATCAACAGATAGTCAGTTAATTATTCTTTTGATGAGTTTGGGATACCTTGTGAGTATGCTCTTGATCATGTGTTGGCATGACCCTGTTGACTTTCAACTGACAGACTAATTTTGAATTATTAATAATCATCTTAGAAGATGCTGACACAATCTACAGATAGTTAGTTGAATATTAGTTGCCAACAAGTTGAAAAAAATATTGACAGTCAACAGACACTTCTCGTAAAATCTGTAGATCAACACTTCAAATGCACCTTATAGTCTAGTGGCAGTTACTTGAATGTATATTACTTGTCTGCTGAAACAGTGTAGTATATAATATACTGTTGACATGCTACTAAATAGCTACAGATAACTAGAATTTCAATAGATAGACTGTCAAAATAAAGTGTTACCACTATGGTATTGTCACAAAATTAACATTAATAATTGTTTTCTTAAGATAACTTGATTCATTTTGTACATCAAAGTAACTGAAATTTGATTTTAAGTTATTTCCAACATGGCTGCTCTCAGCTTCCGTACTTATTTTACAGTTTTCTTTTTTTTTTTCCTTTGTAATTTGTATCTATGTTTATTTTATTTTTATTGTCTTGTTGATTTCACATGCATCTTCTTATATCTGTACTACATGCTACTGTTTGCACCATCTACTTAGATGCTAAACTGTTTTTTGTTGTATGGATGCAGTGACAGTAGAAAGTAGAATCTAATCTAATCTAATCTAATGTGACTTAAGTCACACCATGATCATAGAAAATAATTTCTGTTGTTATTTTACATCACAGCTCAGGATGTATTAAACTGCAAGTAACCATAGCAACAGGACGGACATAAGCACAGAGTTTATTTGAGCTCTTATTTTATTATTTGACATCAGATTCTCAACATCAGTGAACAATGGTGATGAGACTATGATGATGGTGATGATGGTGATTGGCTGTCACCTGCGTCGGAAGCTCAGGTGCTCACGGAGGAGGTGGTGGAGGAGCTAGAGACTACCCTTCCATCAACAACCTCCTCCACCACTTCCACTATGCGCCTGGTCCTGGTGGTCGAGGTCGTTGAAGAGGAGCTGACACTGCTGAACCAATCAGAAAACAGATCACTGTAAACTGAATGTCTTTGGTTAGTTTTATTGTACAGTATTAATATTTTTGAATTATCTCAGTCTCACCTGCTGCTGCCCTGTCCATCCAGCAGCCTCCTGTATTCGGCGATCTCCATCTCCAGTCTGGTCTTGATGTCCAGCAGCATCTGGTACTCTTGTGCTTGTCTCTCCAGGTCTGCCCTCAGCTGCACCAGCTGCTCCTCCAGAGCGCTCACCTGAAAGTCAAGAAGAAGAGGAAGAAAAATAATACCATTTAAAGTCTGAATCAAACTGTAGAAATATAAAGTAAAATAGTTGAAACAGGCGGAACTTTTTCTGTCTCACCTGCATCTGGTATCCAGAGAGCTGCATGGCATAACGGTTTTGTGTCTCAGCCAGAGTTCCCTCCAGTGACGCTTTCTGCAGAAACAAAGTTAATGTTACGAATGTTCAACACTTAATTTTCCATCTACACCAAAAATCATTTTTATAGATTTATTTTTGTTTCCACAGTGGCAGCACTGAGCAGCCGTCTGTGAGCGGGGGATATGATTTGACATGGTTTATACTGATGCTAAAAAAGAGACTTTTCTCTGCTACAGAACTTGTTTCCGCTGAGTTACTAAAATGTCAGTGTCCGTCCACACAATAATACTAATAAATGTAATTTCTGTGTATTCAAATTTAGATATAGTTTTCTTTATTATTATTTTAATATTTAAGTAAATGTTATAAATAGTTTAACTATTTACAAAAATTAAAATTAATTTTAAATTACACACTTAAATGTTATCATAAATCTGTGCCCAGCTGGATCTGTAAGGAGTGATGTCAATTTTGTTGCATATGTACTGGTCTTGTTACCTGTTATTAATATAAAATTTTAATATTCTGTCCTGACGTATGTATTATTTCTTTAAATCCTCAACTTTGTTTATCAAGTACTAAAAAGAAAAGCATGTTTTTCAGTGTTAATCCCTTAAATTTGAGAGTTTTGAAAACGCTGACACATTACGGTAGTTTAAAAAGTAACATACAATATCGAGGCTTTGGGCAAACACTATCTACCTGGCTGTCCATGAAGACAGGTCACAGGGAGACGTGGATGCTGCTCTGCTGCTGTCTGGATGAAAACTCAAATGCTGTTGTGGGCCTTTTTTTTTAACTAAGAATTGATGCCATGGGCCAAATTTAAAAACCAAAATATTAAATTAGAAAAAGAAACAGAAAAGAAATGTCTCGCAAATGCCTCTAGTCAGAGGGCAAAAATGTAGGTGCTTGAGCGCCACCTGGGGTCTATCTGTGCACGTGCCTGCCTTGATGACTGACAAGCTAGCCAGCAGTATAAAGTCACTGAAATGAGCTCCACCTTTAGCAGCTGCAACATTAAGGTGATAAACACCTCAACACATTAATAACTATAATCCAACAATATCATATACTATTCTGAAATGAGCCATTCTACATAAGGAGTTATTTTACTTTTACGTTTTTGAATGCAGGATTAGAGTATATTTACACTTAGACACTTAGAAACATTTCTACTGAAGTTAGAGTACTGAGTACGCGTTTCATCACTGTGACACTCACCATGCCCAACTGGGCCTGCAGCTCGATCTCCAGCGACTGCAGCGTCCGTCTGATCTCTGTGACTTCTGACTTGGACGTCTGCAGGGTTTCCTTCTGAATGACCACCTCTTTGTTCAGAGTCTCCGTCTACACAAGCACACAAAAAATCTGTACATGAATTTACCATACAGGTACTCTTTGCATCCACAGGAAGTGATGTCATGGTGTTACCTTGGTCTGGAACCAGAGCTCAAGCTCTTTCTGGTTCTTGGCAGTGATGCTCTCATAGTACTCTCTGATCTCGGCCATCATCTTGCTTAGGTCTGGTCCTGGAGTGGCGTCCACTGTCACGTCGATCTGACCACTCATCTGACTTCTTATTGCCAGCATCTCCTGCAGAGAAACAACAGATACAAGAGTTGTGTGTGTGAGTTTACTTCATTCTTGTTTTATTAATGTTCGCATGAACTGAGTCCTCAGAAAGAGTTGCTGGTCCTCTGTTTCTTAAACTCAGTTTCTAATGGATTTTTCTGTTCTTTCAGTGTAATGCAACATTGGGATTTCTTCCTGTCTTGGAGTGCAAAGTGAACTTAAACAAATAATCCAAACAAACTGTTAATAAATGAATTAAATACATGTCAGTTCACTGATTAATTGTTACTTGATTGGTTATTTGATTATCGGAAAACTACTCTGCAATAACTTTAATAAACAATCTTTTAAAGCCAAATTCATTCTCTGGTTCAAACTTTTCTAATGTGACAGTTTGCTGCTTTAAATCATTTTAATTTGAATATTTGGGGCTTTTGGACTGTTTGTTAGACAAATCATGAGATTTAAAAATAACTGATTAATTGTATAAAATAATAATAGATGCTTGCAGCTCTAACTGAGTCTCTTTTTGCACTGTTGAGAGAGCAGCAGTGTTTTGGGGTGTCATAAGCACGGCCACCTCTAGGGGCTGTTGTTAACCCTGTTATTACTCAGGGTGTGTGGCTGTACCAATGTTGATGGTTAAATGTGAAGGATTTGGTGGCATCAAGTGGTGAGGTTGCAGATTGCAACAAACTGAAACTTCCCATGTGCCAAATGTGCAAAAATGCAAATGGTCCTATCTAGAGCCAGTGTTTGCTTTTGCTTTCTGGGCTAGTGTAGAAATGTCATGGCAGACTCTGTGGAGGAGGATCTGTCTGTATGTAGATAAAAACACCTCATTACAGTGTAAAGAAACAATTCATAATTTCAGGTGATTTTACACTAATGAAAACACAGTCATGAATATAATATAATTCTGCCAATAGAAGCCATACTAGGGCCATTAAATTAACCAAGATTAAATTTACGTTTCCACTGATGTGCACAGAAATTCTGTAAGCTATTTTTAAAAAAAAAATCAAAGCCAGATTTAAAGTGTCAGAATGTATAATAACAAAAAACTGCATTGACAAATAAATTTCAGTGTGCTCCAGAGATTAACACAATTATTATTAATTGGACTGAATATAACCCAGATGTTTTCCTTGGCAGGAAACCTAAAAAAAGATAGGTATAGGTAGAGTTTTAAATAGGAATGCACAAAATTGGATTTTTTGCTGATATCCGATCCGCCGATATGTAACACCTCATTTGACTGATAACCAATACTGATATAGATATGTCAATTTTTTTCCCTACCTAATTTTAGTGATCATCAAATGGAATTAACATCATATTATGCATGCATACTCTTATCATGAAGTCCCACCAGCAGATGGAGACATGAGATACAATATTTTTTAATGTATGTAATATTCATTCATTGAATGAATATAGTTAATTTTAAAGCCAATATTGTCTGATACCGATGATGTACCAATATTTTCTTTTTGTACCAAGTGATGAAAATAACACTGAAATGGTATTTTTCATAACGTTTGATTTTACAGATTTTTCTAAAAGGTCCTTGAAGAAACCTGCTTTAATTCAATTATTCTTAGGCTAATTTATTAGTAAGTTTGTTTTCTTTATTAATTATTATACTTTATTATTATAATGATTAGGTATAATTATGCGTTGTAATTTGATCAATCAAAGTCAAATATGAAAATGACCATATAAAGATTAAGTTCAGGTTGCTACTGTTACACTAATTCATCATTTATTATGAATTATGTAGTAATAAAGGAACCAGATGTGACAGGATGTGGTTGTGGTTTTGTTTTAGTGCTCTCTGACCTCCTCGTGGTTCTTCTTGAGGAAGATCAGCTCCTCCCTCAGACCCTCAATCTGCATCTCCAGGTCGCTCTTCGCCATGGTCAGTTCATCCAGGACTCTCTTCAAGCCAGCATTGTCGCCCTCCACAGACAAACGCATTGCCAGCTCATTATCATACCTGCAGGAGAAGAACAAGGGAGAGGAGGGTGTATTTATACTTAATACAACTTGATATGTAATTAACTACTACTACTACTAACCTTAACTCACAGTTATTGCTTATATAGTATTACTGTTCCTGTCCCCTCCCTCCAGCCACATTCTCAACTCCTCAAACCCCTTCACTATCATTCTGTATCTGTGCACCAGATGCCCTCAGACTTTCTCACATGTCCCAGTTACCTGTCCTTCCCACCCACTAGCTCACCTGTTCAAACTCTCCTCATCAGCCACTTCCCACTCACTACTTGTCAGAAGTTGCTTTGTGCTTTCATTATTTTTAGTGGATGCTGATGCTGCAGCAGGTGAAGCAGTAAGAAATATATAGCTTTTAAACACAGATTATCAGGACATCCATCCATCCATTTTTGGAACAGCTTATCCTCTTGAGGGTCGCGGGGGGGCTGGAGTCTATCCCAGCTGACACTGGGTGAAAGGTGGGGTACACCCTGGACAGGTCACCAGACTATTACAGGGCTGACACATAGAGACAGATGCTCACATTCACACCTACAGACAATTTAGAGTCACCAATTAACCGGCATGTCTTTGGACTGTGGGAGGAAGCTGGAGTACCCGGAGAACATGCAAACTGCGCACAGAAGGCTCCCTCCTGGGATCGAACCAGGAACCCTGTGTGGTGACAGTGCTCACCACCACACCTCCGTGTCGCCCTTACCAGGACATGTAAGCTTTAATAAAAGACAGATGTTTTCTGCATGAATGGATCTGCCAGACTCCAAACATCATAACAGATCCACTCTTTCATATCATTCAGAGTGTTAAAACAAATTCATGAGCTGAGGTGAAGCCCTGAGGTGCTGCTGCTGCTGCTGCATGATAAAATGTTATTATCTCACCTGTCAATCAAGTCACACCTGTGACTGAATATCAGTGTACAGTGATGTCAGAGTTATCTATCTTAATGTGTGTTGCCATGCTGTTCTGGTTTCAGTAACTCATGTACAGGTGTGTAAAAACATATCATTCATTTAAATTCACTAAGCATATAGTCTGACCAGGTCTGCTCTAAACTGATGTAGGTCATTAACTTTAGTTGTAGCTACTGCGGTAGCTACTACAACTGCTACTGTTACTGCTGCTGCTACTGAAGATACTGCTACTGAGTCAAATATTTTTTATCATTTAATTTTACACTTAGTTTTGTGTGTGTTTGTTGCAGTATATGTTGTGAGATTTAAAAGCTTGACTTATTATACATCAGTCAAGTTTTTGAACAATTTGTTGTACATTGTCTCCAATGAAAAAAACATGAAAATGTTAAAGAAGTTCTTTACAGCCATAGAAGGATTACTGGCAGCCAAAGTGTCAGTGGCCCTCTGGCTTTCACCTGCAAAATTACATTTCTATCAACACATACTGACCAGGAAGTGACTCAAAAAGAGACCACAAAAAGATGCAAAGAAACTGCAAAGAGAAGCAGAATAGCTACAAAATGGGCAAAACAGTAAGACTCATCATTTTTCACCTTAGTAGTCACAATAGTGAGGTCTAAAATGTCTACTAGTTAGTTGCACTAGTGAGAGGCTCCCCTACTGGTACGACTAATGCTTTTACTACGATCACTATTGTTTCTGGTATTACCACTTCAGTCGTAGTAATGTGTGTGTTCACTCTGTGTGTGTGTGTGTGTGTGTGTGTGTGTCTTGGACTCACTTGAGTCTGAAGTCGTCTGCAGCCAGGCGGGCATTGTCAATGCTGAGATGGAGCCCACCATTCACTCTGATGGCGCTCTGAATCTGAGAGACACAGATAGAGCCTTAATCACACCACTGCTGCATCACTAGGTTTGGGGGGTGGTCATGATCAAAGGGTACAGATGTCCAATACAAAGGTCTATGCACAACTGGTTGTGCTGGAGTGGGTTGCTATTGGCTGACCTGCATCATCACATGTGAGTAAAACACTCACATTCATGTCTATTGAGGATGGCAGATAGTATGTGTCTCCAAAATATTCTATAATATTCATCAGCATGGCTGCTGATAGAAGGTCTTCGTCTTAAGAGATTCTTAAAAGAGGGCAGTAGGCTACCACATTAAAATCATAGAAGGATTCTATAAACACAAGGCTTTATGTCAATATCTGCTTTCAGTTTTTTAGATTTTAATGAAGTACTAGTTGTTAGTACTATAGTTGTTTCTTACAGTACTACTCCCCCTCCCCAATATGGACTATAGCTCATTAATTCAGGTAAAACTTTATTGCTCTGCATCAGGCATCACATCCTTGCACCTATTAGGATGAGGAGTGGTTGGTTACCTTGGCAGTGATGTCAGCAATGGTGGCGAAGAAGGCACTGTAGTCCCTGGTGCTGGGACCGACCTTGCTTTCCACATACTGCCTGATCTTCAGCTCCAGCTCGGCGTTGGCCTTCTCCAGCGCCTTCACCTTGGCCAAGTAGGAAGCCAGGCGGTCGTTGAGGTTCTGCATGGTGAACTTCTCGTTGCCGATGATGCTGTCATCCATGCCGGACACGCTGTAGCTGCTTGAGGAGGAGTAGCCTCCCCCCATGCTGCCACGTCCACCCATGGAAGAAGAGGAGATGCGGACCCCTGCATTTCCTGCTCCTCCATACACACTGCCAGCCTTCCTGACTGATACCAGTCCACCACCGAAGTTGCTCAGGGAGCCGCTGGAGCTCCGTACCGAGAAACTCTGACTGTTGAAGGAGGTCATGGTGGATGCTGCCTTTCTGCTCTGAGACGACAAAGAGATGAGAGTGAGGAGCTGCAGGACTCTCCCCTCCTATTTAATACTCTTGCAGCTAACGATCACTCAGCAAACACCATGATGACTGCAGGTGAGGTGAGGAGACAGGTATGTGCCCAGGAGGCCTGTTCTGGGTGTGTCAGGGTATGGCCAGGGAAAAATGTAACCTTTAAACATGCTTACTTGCTTGACATTTATGAGGTTGGTTTTTCAATGCCAGGGTTTAAGGTTTCCTGAAATCTGCTTTCATGACCTTAGGATTATAATTTCTGAGGAGGAACATGTGTGAACGAAGCTGTCCAAACAGGCAGCAAAAGCCAAAGTTCAGTCATTCAAAAGTTCAATTTCAGAAGTATACTATAGTAAAGCTTCAGTGAAAGCTTTTCAAAATGTCAGTTCATTTGTGAAATGAGTGTGGGCGAAATAATTATACCCTGAGAGGGAGTCTAAATGGCACCAAGTAGATGTGTGAGTTAATAGTAGCTTGTGAAATCAATCCTCTGCAATTACAATGAAAGAAGTCTGGTTTATTGCCTCTATCACACAAAGCAAGTATATTCAGTTGATTGAAACCGACTGGGATGGCATGAGAGAGCATAAAGACCTGCAGAAAATATTGGGAAAAGGTCAGATCAGATCCTCTGCAGTTGTAATAAACTTTATTCTAAACGTTAAATATTTTTGGCCAAAAAAGTTCAACATTTGTTCATACGCAAAAAAATCAAATCTGGGCATAAAAATGTTTCTTACCAATGGGTTTTCTGAAACATTTCTAATTATTGACAAAATTAGAACTGGTTGGTTTACAGGATACCAATTTGAGGCATAATGAACTTTGTTGAGTAAGTCATATTGTTACATAACAATTTTTCCCCATCAGGTTTGCAGGAGTTTACTGCAAAATGTGTGTTTGTTGTTGTTGTTGTTGTTAACATTAAAAACAAATAAATACTGTAAATCTAACTCTTGTCTTCACTGGAAATAATCCAGTTACCCAACATTCATCCACAAGTTTCCTTGGAGTCCTGAGTGATGAAATACTAAGCTGGAAGAGTTATATTCAGTCAGTCTGCATTCAAATGTCTGAATATATTGGCATTATTGGCAATATTATAAATCTGGTTATTCAGAATTGTTAACAAATTATTTTTTATAACATAATTTAACCTTACCTAATATACTCCAAGATCACTTGGGGTATTTATGAAATTTTAACATAAATATTGACCTAACTTGTATTTTTATTTAGAAAATTTTGCATCACTGTGTTTGCTTCCTGTGCTTTGTAAAGTAATTTTGCAACCTAACTGTGATGTACATAATTACACAAAAATTTAAAAGCAACACTTTTGTTATTGCTCTAATTTCCTAAGGTTTAAGGTAGCATCTAAAGACTGTGTGATTTTGAGATGAAAGATTACCAACATGAAGGAAACGTGGCGATGATTTTGGGTCTAAATTGATGGTCCTACACTAGGGCTTTGTTAAAATATTTGATTCATCTGAGTCAAATCAATCTTCATTTAAATTACCTGATATCGATTCTTGAAATCCGAGATCAAAATTTTAATATATGCTAATCTATTAACGACCATAGTCTTGAGAAGCTCCAATGTTATAGGCTCTTTTATCTGTAACTGTTGGCTCATGCTTTATGTTTTGGTGGAATTTAATATGCTGCCACAGCCTCTCCTCCTGCTGTCTGTGTATAGGGGCTGCTGCGCCACTTTTACGCACAGACACAGACACAAAAACACGGAGTAAAGATGTAGCAGATGTGCGCTTTCAAGATAAAATCAATTTAACAAGCTGAGACAACAACTACTGTTTAGCTTACCACTTATCTTAACACTTACCTTGGGTGATGTTACCTGCAGGCAGTGGAATCTTCTCAGCAGCATGAGGAGGTGCAGAGAAGACAGGAGGACTGATACTGACTGCTGTCTGTGTTTTTGTTCATTCTAAACTTTCAGGAATACAATTTATTTGTATTGACATTATAGATATGTTGAAAGTGAGATATTAAGTCTATATTATGACTTTGCTGTTTTAATATTACTGTTGCTGCTCTAGAAACAACATTTAGTCAGAATATTCAGTTTCAGTCCTATTCTGAATTCATTCTTTTTTAAGAATAATTCCTGTAAAATTTACAGTTTTAGTTCACTGAGAGTCTCTTTCACGTACTAGCAAAAATCGGTACTGTAACTGAAATCCTCAATCAAATCGATATTGAATGGAATCAGTACCTTGTTAATCGAAATCGAATTGATTCAGGAAATCAGTGGCAATACCAAGCCCTAGGTCATACATCGCGCAGTGAGAGAGATTCAAGGATGGTTGTTGTCATGGTCTTGTGGTCAAAGACAGTCTAGGAAAAAATTCTGACAGTGTCAAAAATTTGGGACGATCTCACCATGAGACTGCTTTTATGATCCATGTCTACTAACCAACCAATAGAAATGCAGCATGCTGACACACTGGTGCTAAACCCAAACAAACAGACAGATAACAGCTTGCCATGGAGGAAAAACACACCAAAAGAAATGTGTGGGATTCCAGCAAAGAGGAAAACCTTGTTGAGTTGTGGCAGCAGAACTTTTGCCTGTATGATGTGTCCTCCAGCTCCAAAAAGCTCGTAAAAAAGGATTCAGTATGAGAAGCCATTGCAGTGTTAGTCATAGCCTGTGATTCAGTAGGCACTGTCATCATACAGTCTGCATACATCAAACCTGATGCCATTTATTACATCCGGATATAGCTTGCACTGAACTTAAAAACTTGCTAAAATCTCACAGTCTAATGGAGGCGTAAGACTTTTTAATGCACTCTGAAGACAATTTCTCTCAAGTTTTGGTCACATTTTTTTTTTAAATCAGTGTTAGTGAGCATTTCTCCTTTTCCATCATCATCCATTCACCTGACAGGTGAGGCTTATCAAAATGCTGATTAAACAGCATGATTATTACACAGGTGTGTCTTGGGATGGTCACAAGAAAAGGTCACTCTTAAATGTGCAGTCTGATCACACAACACAATGCCACAGATGTTGAAAGTTTTGAGGAAATGTGCCATTTGCACACTGGCTGCAGAATGTCTACCAGAATGGTTGCCCGTGAGCTGGATATTCATTGCACTTCTATGAGACATTGCTGTGAATTTGGCAGTACATCCAACCGGCCTTGCAATCACAGACCACATGTAATCACACCAGCTCAGGACCTCAACATCCAGTGTCTTCACCTGCAACACCCGAACAGCTGATGCAATAATTGGTTTGCACGACTGAAGAATTTCTGCACAAACTGTCATTTTATTGATGGCAGTTTGAATGCACAGATATACCTTGAGAAGATCCCGATACGATCTTGCCATTCATCCGCCGCCATGACCTCATTTTGCTGCATGATAATGCAATAATTTTGATTCTATACTTACTTGTTTTCATACTTTTTAAACACCATGATGACTGCAGGTGAGGCAAGGAGCCAAGTATGTGAACAGGAGGCCTGTCCTGGGCGTGACAGGGTATGGCCAGGGAAAATGTAACCTTAGAAGTGAACAATAGTTTTCAGTTATCAAAAGGGAGAGTGTCAGCTATACTAAGACCTGTTTTCACAAACAGGAGTCAAGTCAGAACAGGTGCTGAAATAACAGCATCAATAGTTTTAAAGGTCTTACCCTTCTCATCAAACTCTGCTTAATTTCTTCGAGATGAATCAGTTAAACTGAGAAACCACCTGACACAAACAATGAAAATAATCATTCAGAGGTTAAAAACATCTACACACTCTCCTTTTATCTTTCACTACTGTATTTAAAATACCATGTTGACTTGTATTCAAAGGAAAAGGCCACTTTAAATCCATTTGTCACTTTTCCCCAGTATCCCTAGTTGAGTTAGATGGCAGTTCAATGACTTAAAAGATCAAAGGTTTTGATTTCAGGATTTATTTTCATGTTTTTATTATTTTTTTGCCTCTTGTCAGAGAGATATCAAAAGAGACTTCCTGATTCAATAAAAGACTAAACAAAGCTGCCAGAGGCAAACTGCTGAAGAGTACACTGAAAAAGTGTAAAAGTATTGAGTTTTACAGAATATAACAAGTCAAACACCAATACAACTCATGTTGTTAGTTACTGTGCATGTTTTTAAAATATCTGTTTACCAACAATCAGGCCAGAGGTCTTAAGGATAAAAACTTTACAAGTAAAACCACTGGAAACAGTAAGAAAAATAGGATATTTATTTATAAATCTGAATTTACAAGATAAATTTGGGACTATACTACTTTCTTTGGAATAAATCCTTGACTAAGTTTGAACATCCTTCCTCAGTTCAGACTAGTTTCAAACTAGTGATTTACTGAGTCAGATTGCACCATTGAAACTAAACAAATGTCTCATATTTTGTTTAAAGCCCTTATATATTGTTGTGCTTCCTTTATACAGATATGGGATTTGACTCCAGTTTTTGTTGTTCTCAAAGTACATACACAGAAATAGACACTTAAAACAAGGACAACATAGCTGAACAAAGATAAATATAAATATCTGACTACTATGTACAGTACAGGCCAAAAGTTTGGACACACCTTCTCATTCAATGCGTTTTCTTTATTTTCATGACTATTTACATTGTAGATTCTCACTGAAGGCATCAAAACTATGAATGAACACATGTGGAGTTATGTACTTAACAAAAAAAGGTGAAATAACTGAAAACATGTTTTATATTCTAGTTTCTTCAAAATAGCCACCCTTTGCTCTGATTACTGCTTTGCACACTCTTCTCTCCATGAGCTTCAAGAGGTAGTCACCTGAAATGGTTTTCCAACAGTCTTGAAGGAGTTCCCAGAGGTGTTTAGCACTTGTTGGCCCCTTTGCCTTCACTCTGCGGTCCAGCTCACCCCAAACCATCTCGATTGGGTTCAGGTCCGGTGACTGTGGAGGCCAGGTCATCTGCCGCAGCACTCCATCACTCTCCTTCTTGGTCAAATAGCCCTTACACAGCCTGGAGG